CTCCTCAGTGACCCCCCAAGTGGGCAACCGCTGTGGCAGTGGGTCCGGCCCAGACAGACACTGCCAGCCTCCCCTCCCTGCAGTGGGCACCAGCTCTACCTCCCCCAGCGGGGCAATGCCCTGGCTCCTCAGCCCGGTATCCTCTGTCCCCTATGCTTCTCAGGGGCCAGCCCCATCCGGGCCACCCTCTCCCTAGCCCTCAGCTCCCGCGCAAGTGACAGGCCCAGGCAGATCGCTGCTCTCTGGGAAAGGTTGGATGCTGCCTTATTTATGCCCTCTTCCAGCCCCCTTTCCCTCACTCACGTGCACAGGTACCTACCACCCCCCAGTCAGCTTGTTTCTCACCACATCTAGGGAGAGGGGGAGACCGACCCCTTAGTGTCTTTTGAAATACGAAGAAAAATGTTTGTTCAGGAGCATGGCTCCAGTGCTGGACTCTTGGGCCCGGTTCAGTCTGTCTCGTCTCAAATCTAGGCATTTTTGCTTCAATTTTATTTTTTTTAAGGAAACAAAAACAAAACTCTGCACTAATTTACCTGGTTTCGTAGGAAAACTTTTTTTTTATTTTTTACATTTTTTGGTGTCCGTTTGTATTGAATAATTTGCTACATTTGTAAAATGTAAGAGGTATATATAATATATGTATATTTCTAACGTAAAAAACGTAATTTTTTTCTTTTCAAGATTTTTTCTTAAGAGGAGAGAAACGATATTTTTTCAGGAAAAACAAACTTTAAAATAAAAAAAGAGGAGAATTAAACCTATTTCTCCCCTTTCCCCATCCTCTCTCTGTCTGTCCCTCTTTCCCAGGAATAAATCAAAAGGTGGATCGTCTTGTAAAGAATGTAAACTCTTAGTCCAGAATGATGTATTTTTCTCGATGCAGTGAGCTATAGATTCTCTAGTTTGACCCCTAGGGATGGGAAGGAGGGCATTGAGGCAACGTGGAGAGGAGCTTGGGGGAGCAGGGTAATGAACTTGTTTTCTTTAGTGAAGGAGGAATACAATCAAGCGTTTTGTATTCAGAATGTTGTGCAATATTTTGGAATGGGACATTGGTGTGTTTAGAGATTTAGTTTAAAAACAAAACAAAAAGATTGATCAAATCTGTACAGTTTATATTGTTCCAGATTTTTTTAAGTTTGTATTAAAAGCATGATATATAATAGCCTTCTGCTTGCTCCTGGCTTGTTTTATTTGGGGGCCCCTCTTAGGATGGAGAACGTGGGAGCAACCCAGCCTCCGTTGGCTTCAAGAGACCGTTGGTCCTCCTGACCTGACCCCTTAGGAGGGCCCACGTGCCACAGGCCCCTTTTGACCACCTGTCCCATCAACCCAGGATGTGGAGTCCCCACTTCCAAGGGTTCTTTTCCACTGGAAGTAGGCTCCCCGAGGTTGGGAACTGCCCAGGCTCCCTCTGCTGATAGGTTGCGGAGCCAGTACTGGCAACAGAGCCCTGAAAACAGGATAACTTCGTGGCTTTTTTAGGAATGGCCTATTCCTCGGAGGCCGAAGGAGGGATCGGCCTCCAGCCTGCTCTAGATCTAGTATTTGCCGACCTCAGACCGCTAGACCCTTAGAGGTGGGTAAGGATGAGAAGAGCCACCTAAGTCTGGTTCTGTCCAAAAACCTGGTTCTTGGATTCTGGCCCTTCTCTTGGCTGGGCAGTTCCAGAGCCTGGGGCTGGGGAAGAACTCAGCCACCCCCCCCCCCCACAGGGCCGGCCTATATAATGCCCTGCATCACCGGGGAAACCACTTCCTTTGGGTACCTCCCTGGCCGGCCGTGGCCCCCAAGTTGAAGAGGGCATCCAGGTATTCAATGAATCTTTGACCCTCATAGCAACCTGGGGATAGAGGTGTTACCTCCACAGTACAAGTGAAAACAGGGCTCCGAGGTGGATTACCTGCTCAATTCACGAGACTAGTACAATGGGAAGCTGGAATAGTGTGTAACATTTTCACGTAGAGTCGTGAGAACTGCTATAGAAGTGTAACACTGGTAGAGGGGACAGGAGGGTGGACCTTGCCACTTCAAGGCTGGGACAGGGGGCGGGCAGTTCTGGGGCATCAGTGGGATGGGGGTCTCCTCCGGTGCCCTGCTTCCCAAACTGGCCAGCACTGATCCCTCCCTGAGTGTGTGAACTAGGCCTAGAAGCTCTCGGGCCAGACCCCGAATCTCTACACGGGGTCCCAGGAGCTCTTGCTGTCTGGCCCCTTCACGGGCCACTTTTCCACAGAGCCTGTCAGGCAGAGGGAGGCCCCTGCTCAGGATGCCCAGGCCTTTGCCAGCCGGAAGTCCACTCCCAGGGGTCCCACTTTCCTGCTGGGAGAAGCCCAGCCTCTCCCTCTGACCCTGTGTACAGGCTACCCATCTACCTGGGGGCCCCGGGGCCCCTTGCACACTCATTTCTATTTATGCTGATATAAAGCATCTAGCACAGGTCTTGCCATAGCAGGTACCCGTGGTCCCCATTTCCATTCCCTGCGCATGTGCCAGAGCTGACCTGCCTGAGGGAGCCCCGGCTCAGTGCCGAGATCGCCTTCTGGGTCGAGAGAATGGTAATTCCAGATTCACACAACCCCCCAAATTCTCCACGGCACGGGCAAAGAAAGGATTTCTTCATACATTCATGCCTTCATTTATTCACTAAATGCTCACTGGCTCTTGAGGGGTGGAGTGCGGGGAAAGGGCTGCCTGGGGTCCCTGCCCTACCACAGAGAAAGAAAAAGCATTCATTCTGGTACACTCAGCTCCTCGGAAAGAAGGCACATTTATTCACGTGACAAACCTTCCGTGAACACCCACTGTCCACCCCGGGAGCACAGGTGAGACAGTTACAGGACAGGTGAGCCCAGGGTGGGTGAGAGCTGAGGGATCAGGAGGTGAAGAAAGCACAAGTTAGCCAGGAAGGAGAAAAGCAAGGCCAGGCCCCTCCCCAGGGAACCATCTGGGCAGAGTCACCTCTACTCCCTTTTAGAAGACGCAAGTTCTACTTCCGCCCGCACTGCTCGCTCGCTGGTGGACCTCCAGCCAAACCATTTCACCTCCTCTGGCTCCTCAGTTCCCTCACTTCTAAAATGGGGATAATAACCGTACTACCCGTGAAAATTAAATGAAATAATGAGTGGAAAATGCTAAGCACAGTGGCTGGCCCAGACTAAATGGCAAATGTCACTTTCTCCATCAGGGCCATTACTGTCCATCCTCGAACACAGCCCAGTCCCGGAGGCTTCCTTGCATCAGCAAACAGGCCAAAACCCAACCCCGCCAGCAGCAGGACCCGGCAGCTCGGGCACAAAAGGAAACTCCATCCTTGG